GCCCCGAGAATAATATCAGCGCGGGGGGCCCCTTTCTGGGAGCGCCTCACAATGTCTCCTCCATGTTTTCTTATTTATTGGGGGGTGTTTATTTTCGGAATGTTTTTTTTTTCTACGACGGTTCCAGGTTTTGTGGGCAGGAGGCCTTCAGCCCCTGGTCAAATGCTCAATCTCTCGTGAGGTGCTCCACCAATACTTGTTGCATGAATGAATGAATGAATGAATGAACGAACGAACGAACAAACAAGGTAAGGAAGAGAGGACTTAGCCGGGACTGGGGCCACAAGGCTCAATTGGGAGCCCCTCCTCGCAGGGTGAAGACCCAAACCTTCCCTGGCATAGGATCACTTAGACGCCCTGACCTCCAGACCACACGTGCTGATATGCCAGCTGGAAGGAGGGGTCTTATGTGTCCCTGGTATCGCTTGTCTTTTCTCCCAGGGGAGAAACGGGGTCAGCTTTCTAAGCCGGTGAACAGAGCAGCCAGTTCTCACCAGCACAGGATTCACAGAGAAAGGAGTCGGGGCCGCTAAGTCAGGAGTGAAAACTGGCACCCAAATAAAACCGAAGTCCCGACTTCTCCCCTCTCCAGGGCACCGAGGGCTCCCGGGGCATCCTGTTACTGAGCTGAATATTTCATCTGGCCCCTTTCTCCTTGCAGCACAGACGAAAAGAACATGACGGGCAGACTTGGGTTCAAGTCCTAGCACAGCTGCCTATGAAGTGCTCTTCGCTAAATCTCAGATTTCTCACCTGCCAACTGGGGAGACTAATCCTCCCTCCCTCCCTCCCTCCCAGGATTATGGTGAGGATGGTAAGGATAATGTATGTAAAGTGTTGAGCATCGTGCCTGGCATCAAAGTGCATGAGACATGGGATCTAGTGTTGTGAAAAGATTTGGTTTAAGTTGCTAATTAGCGAGTCCCTCTCGAGCAGTGGTTCTCAACCTTCCTAATGCCGCGACCCTTTAATACAGTTCCTCATGTTGTGGTGACCCCCAAATTGAACATAATTAAAGCATAGTGATTAATCACAAAACAATATGTAATTATATGTGTTTTCTGATGGTCTTAGGCGACCCCTGTGAAAGGGTCGTTCGACCCCCAAAGGGGTTGCGAACCACAGGTTGAGAACCGCTGCTCTAGAGTAGACCCTCCAAAATGCGATTCAGCTCGGGGTGGCCTTGGGGTCTAGAAGAAACACAGGCTCAGGGATCTTGGCAACAGGACACAATAGATTTGTTTGCCTCCAAGGAAGGTGTGTGCAAGGGTGGGGTCAGCCTCCAGCTGTTTAAAAATGAAGATTCCTCCAGAGGAGGTTACTGGCCCCAGGCATGTGTCCTCCTGCCTGACACCCCGTTCCCCCACCGCCCCCCCTTCACAGTGGCCGAGACAGGGGACTATCATAATGAACCCCCGCTTATGGCACTTTTGTGTTCTGGCCACTTTCTAAGTGTGTGTGTGTGTGTGTGTGTGTGTGTGTGTGTGTGTGTGTTTTTCCATGTCACCATTTCATCCTCAGACCCTATTATTTCATCTCCACTTTGCAGATGAGGAACCTGAGAGCGAAGGGAGTAATTGATGGAGCTGGAATTCGCACCGAGGCCTCTGTCTCTGAGACGACTCAGTCACTCCACTATCCCACCCATCTCTCAGGGCACTGGGGGAAGATGGCATGAAAACTGGTTGCCAAAGGGAGGGGGGTTGGGAGGCTGGGTGAAAAGGTGAAGGGATTAAGAAATGCAAATGGGTAGTTACAAAACAGTCCCGGGGACGTAAAGTTCAGCATAGGGAATAGAGCCCATAATATTGTAATAACTATGTATGGTGCCAGGGGGGGACTGAAAATAATGGAAAATTCTTTGTAAAGTATAGGACTGTCTAAGCACTGTGCTGTACACTTGAAACTAATACAAAATAATATTGAGTGTAAACTGTAACTGAAAAATAAAATTTAAGTTAAAAAATGGCATAAGATTGCAAAATCCCTGAGCCATAGACTCTTAGAATCAGACGCCGAGACCGCAAAAGTCTAGAGCAGTGGTTCTCAACCTGTGGGTCGCGACCCCTTTGGGGGACGAACAACCCTTTCACAGGGGTCACCTAAGACCATCGGAAAACGCATATATAATTACATATTGTTTTTGTGATTAATCACTATGCTTTAATTATGTTCAATTTGTAACAATGAAATTGGGGGTCACCACAACATAAGGAACTGTATTAAAGGGTCGCGGCATTAGGAAGGTTGAGAACCACTGTTCTAGAGCCATACAACCGAAGCAGTGCTCGGGTGGCTTCGAGCTCCTTGCCACACTACCCATGGCAGAAAACCCTCTCAGGGGCTCTGACAGACGGAATGTGGCACTGCTGCTTGATTGCTTCAGGTAACGGGGATCTCATCACCTCACAAGGCAGCCCTGATTGTCGGTCAGGATCCTAGAACTTTAAGGGGGCCTTAGTGACCATTTCGTTAAATTCCTTTATTTATAGATGGAAACTTAAGTTTCAGGAAAGGAAACTGATTTGTTAAAGGTGCTGCTGCTGATCAGAGGCAGGAACCCAGGGGAACCTAGACCTGTGGCTCCCAGTCCTGTGCTCTCGTTTCTGCCGACCTTTATATGGGACTCGGGACATCTCCCTACCGGCCTGGTCCTACCCTGGGGGCCTCTCAGAGCAGAGCAGCCATGTCCTCCAAGTCTCCTCTTCTCCAGGCCAAATGTCCCATCATTCCTGTCTCCCTTTTTGTTTGTTTTGTTTTGTTACCCTTTGTTCATTCTTTAAAAAAAAAAAAGCATTTCTTGTTCTGTCCTCTGCAGGGAAAGCTCTCAGGCTGGGAGCTCACAGTCTGAGGGGGACCCCGCCCCGCCCTGCCCAGGGGGAGCCCAGAGTCTGATAGGGGAGTCAGCATGTGGAGGATGTCTGCCTGGGCCCCTCACTCTGGGTTTGTCTGTCCCCCCTCTTCCCAGCCCCCTCCCTCCCTCCCTGGACCTTGAGTGACACCTGTTCCTGGGTCCCCTGGGCCAATAAAAGCACTGCCCTGACAGCCAGGGGATTTTACAAGCAGCGGCCAGGCTTCAAGGTGGTGGGAAGCAGCCGTGGCCCCCAGACGTGGGAATGAGAAAGCACCGAGGAATGTGCCCCAAGAACAGCTGCAGGAGGATCAGAGGGGAGGGAGGCCGCGGGGCAGGCTCGGGTATCGCCTGAGAGGAGGGGAGGCGATGAGATGAGCTGGCTGCTGCCGCCTGCCCTGCCCCTTGGGTCTCTCTCAAAGGCAGCCAAGGCCCCCCACCCCCCGCCCCCCACACACACCGCAGGAGTGGGGGTGGGGGGGTGAGGGGAGGTACACTGGTTCCTGGAGTGGTTAAATGCCACTTTGCTTCTAGAACTTTCCCTATTGCTTTCAGATTCCAGCTCTGACTCCGTTTCTATTTCCTGGATGGTAAGAACCTGGTCTCTGGGGGTCTCCAGGCCCAGCTCAGCCCCAATCCAGCTCTGTGCCTCTGGGCATGCCACTTCTCCCAGCCTCAGCTCCTGTACCCACAGTTTGGGGGTGACCATGCCAACCCTGACAAGTTGGGTCTGAGGTTCCACCAGGTCATGCACGAGAAGCCCAAGCCCTGTGATTGGCACAAGGTGGGTGCCCAACAAAGGCTGGTTAGCCTCGGATGGAAGTGCCCCCAGGGAGCAGTTTGGGGTGACCCCTCTGCCGAACTGTGCCCCCCATTCAGGGAGAAGACAGGCCAGGAATGGGTTCCCACGGGAGCTGTCCGTCATGACCTCCTCCTCCACCACCCAGCCTGAGCCCTCCCTGCACTCAGCGGCAAGCCCCACCCCGCTACCGGCCTGCACCCCAGCAGGCTCTGCTCTTTCTGCACTCCCCCTCCTCCACCCCTGCTGGCTAGGGACCTGACACTCCAGGGTGTGAAGGGGGTGAGCCACCCTCTTCTGATGTTTCTAACCCACCAGGAACCCACCATGCCTGCCCAGTCTGCCTGCATGCTTCCCATAACGGGAAACTCATGACCCATCTTAGGAAGCTAGGCCTGTTCAGAAATTTTCCTCCAAACTACTTTCTCCCCTCATCAGAGATTTGGAGATTTTTGTTCTCTCTGAGCCCCCTCTTCTAGTTGAGCTACTGCCCTTCCTTCTTCTCTTCCTTCCTTCTTCCTCCCTCCCTCCTTTCCACCCTCTCTTTTAAAAAAAATTTTTTTTTATTGATTTTTTACAGAGAAGAGGGAGAAGGATAGAGTTAGAAACATCAATGAGAGAGAAACATCGATCAGCTGCTTCCTGCACACCCCCTCCTGGGGATGTGCCTGCAACCAAGGTACATGCCCTTGACCGGAATCAAACCTGGGACCCTTCAGTCCGCAGGCCGACGCTCTATCCACTGAGCCAAACCAGTTAGGGCCCTCTCTTTCTTCTTTTCTCTCTCCTTCCCTTTTCCTTTCTCCCTCCCTTGAGTTCTTCTCTTCCTCTGCCTCTCTCCCTCCATCCCTCCGCTCATCTTTTCTTTAAAGAACTTGTTGCCTGGAGAGATGTCAGCAGGCCTCGCCGCAGCTTCCGGCTTCCCCCTCCATCAGTCAGTCAGTCAACCAACGCTTGCTGCCCACTTCCTCTGCATCAGTTGCTGGTGGCATTATTGGTCTACAGGGTCCTCAGACCACTTGCTCAGAACTCCCCGGGGCCCAGTGAGCCCTCAGACCCTGGCCACCCCACTTCCTTAATTCCAGCCTCTGGGTTAGGGCCGCAGTGCCAACCTGAGACGCCTCCTCACCTGGACGCGCGCCTCAGTCAGCTTGGTCCTCTGTGCCAGCTCCTCGCGGGTGTAGATGTCCGGGTAGTGCGTCCTCTCGAAGGCCTTCTCCAGCTCCTCCAGCTGCTCGGCCGTGAACGTGGTCCGACTGCGGCGCTGCTTGCGCTTCAGAGGGAGGTCCGGTTCCGACTCCACGTCTGAGCCCTCGTCCAGCCGGTTCCCTACGGCCAGGCGAGAGGGAGGGAGAGGGCGGCCTGGTGAGGTGGAGGGGTGCGCTGGGCCCCCCTTCCAGCCCATCACCGCACCGAGGGAGCATCTCCCTGGAGCACCGGGCACTGTTTATCAGAAGGAAGAGCAGGAAGCGACCCCATGCCCAGCCCTGGGGGCCTGGCTCAACACTTCATGGCACAGTCATTCCTTAAAGACGAGACTCCCCTGCAGTCGGGCATTTAGGTGATTTCCATGGACAGGAAGGATGTGGTGACACAGGAGGCAGGGGGTGGTTTCATGATGAAGAACATGTGTCAACATTTCTAGAACCACATTCCCCGAAAAGGAGATAACTTTGTGGCATATTAACGAATCCTGAATAATCCTGACGTTAAGAAAAAGGGCAGCCCTGGCTTGTTTGGCTCCGTGGATAGAGCGTCGGCCTGTGGACTGAAGGATCCCAGGTTCAGTTCTGGTCAAGGGCACATACCTGGGTTGTGGGCTCAATCCCCACTGAGGGGTGTGCAGGAGGCAGCCAATCAATGATTCTCTCTCATCATTGATGTTTCTATCTCTCTCCCTCTCCATTTCTCTCTGAAATCAATAAAAATATATTTTAAAAAAAAGAAAAAGGGCAGGTACAAGCAGGTGGGTGACACGTTAGGGAACACCACAGTCCAAGATCAGCAGATGTTAACCTCCGGTGGGTGGAACTTTTGTTTTTCTTCTTTATACTTGTTTACAGTTTAGTATTTTTAAAATGACCATTTAAACAACGACGTTATTGCATTTGGGGGAAAGACTGCAAAAATGGAGGAAAGGAGAGAGGCAGGAAGGGAGGGAGGGAGGCAGCAAATGCAATAGTGTCCCGTCTCCACCCCTGTTCTTAACCCAATTGTTTCAAATGTTGGTTCTGTGAATAGGCCGAGGGTCCACCCACAAGGGACAACCTCCCCACCTCCACCCCACCCCCAATAACCTCAGGCAGCCTCTTCGATGTCACCTGGAGGTGAGGGAAAGGCATCCAGGCAGAGGGGAGAGCGCGTGCAAAGGCCTGGTGTGTCAAAGGGCACGAGGGGTCGTGTTCTCATGGGGCAGTGCCCTTCCACCTGCGTGCCCCCCCCTCCGTCCTGCTGCCTTGGCCACTGGACGGTCATGCCTGCTTTTGATCTGTCACTGCCAGGCTGTCCCTGATTGTGACAATAAGGGAACCACAGGCAAGGGAGCCCTCCCTTCATCGTGGCGGGCCTCGTTCCTGAAGGCAGAGACTGGGGTCGGATCCATCCCCCTCATCCGCCCTTTCCCGGCTGCCTGTCAACCCGTCACTGAGAGGCGGCCACGGGGGGCACAGCTGGCAGCCGGGGCACCTTCCCCAGCACGTCTGGGGCTCAGAGCCAAAGACAACTAATCGCAAGGATTCGTTTCCTAAAACTCACTGCATAGCCTCAGTTTTCTGACAGTGGCGAGGAGAGGGGGCCCTCGGGGCCTCGGAAGGAGGTGCAGGGCGTGGCAGGCAGGCAGGGAGGAGGCCCGCCCGCTGGTGAACGGGGCACCGGACTCCCCCCTCCAGTGGGCACCCAGGAGCTGAGTGAGAAGGACCGGTGGCCCTGTCCTCGGAGACCCCCAGTCTGACTCAGCCTCAGTTCCATCCAGAGCCACGCTGTCCAGCAACACCGCGATGGGGGACGCTCGGACCTGCGCGCTTCCACGTGGTGGTATCGGCCGCGGGACCAGCACTGGACGCGTGTCTAGTGCAACCGAAGAACTGAATGCTTCCTGTTATTTCACTTCCATTCACATTTACGCAGCCAGGTGTGGCTGGTGGCTACACACAGGACAGTACACATTTAACACTGCTGTTCTCTCTTTCTAACAAGGAGAGGACCCGCCTCTAGTAGAATTAGCAACATTGTTTTTATGGTTCCCACCGATGTATAGGACATGATACTCATTTTCCAATCACGAGAGCATTCTTTTCCTTGGATTCCGTTTTTTTAAGGTGCTTTCGTATAAAGTAAATTTTTAAGGAAATAGTAGAACAGGCCCTGGGGCTGTACCCCAAAGCATGAATGCAGTTAGCAACTGACCGGCTGCGGGATGCATTCAAGGTGCTTCCGACACTGCCCTGCCCAGCCTCAGTGCCCACGCGGGCCCCGTTCGCATCCAATGCCCTGGCCCTCCAAACTCCGGGCAGCTTTCTAGACTCACCGTGGAGTCTGAGTCTCCTTCCTCCTCATCTCCCTGCTCCTCCCACCCCTTGTTCAGCACAGATCTGGGGTCTCTGGGGGCCCAGAGAGCTACCCAGACCAAAACCAGACTGGGGAAGGCAAAGCAGGGCCCTCAGGCCTCTGTGGGTTGAAAGGCTCCTCTAGGATGTTGACGGTTGCCATAACAACTCTCTGGATGCTGAGTGGAGAGAGCAAGGCTCTGTCCCACTAGCCAGAGATGGAGAGAGGCCGAAGGGACCTGGACTGTGTGACTCCAGGCCTCCGCCCTGGCCCAGCCCAGGGAAGACAGCCTTCTTGGTCTGTGCCAGCTCCACAGCCGGGCTGGGCTACTGGCGTTTTTAAAAAGAGGGGAAAAGGCTCAGAGAGGTTCAGTAACTTGATGGAGGCCACACAGCTGTAAGTCCATGCTCACTCCTGGAGAAGGAAGGGGAAGAAGGATAGATTGGGGGGACTTGGGGGGCCGTCTGGGGCATCTCTGGTCTAGTCAGGAGTACTGGTCTGGGAGGCCTGACACCCGGATGCTGGGCTCTGGCTCCCCCTCACTGTGTGGCCTGGGATCAGTGGCTTCCCCGCTGGACCCCGGTTTTCCCAGTTGTGAAAATGAAGAGGATGGTACATGTCCGCGGGCCCCACGGGGCTGCTGGGAGAATGGAATGACATGCAGACTGCGGGGATCACCGGGAGCCGTAGCGGGGCACGCACATGAAGGATGCTGCTGCTGCTGATGGTGATGGTGATGGTGATGATTACAGAAAGGGTAGAGGGTGGGTGCAGGACCAAAGCAGCCTGAGAGAGGGGGGCTCACTCACAAAGAGCCCTGATGCCACCCCCCGCCCTCGCTCCAGTTTCCCCAATGATGCTCTCCCGCCTCTGGAACCCATTAGTCTCAGAGTTAAATTAATCAACAGGATTAGGTGGACTTGGCCACAGAGAGGCCCCGATGGCTGGGGCTGAGTCCTCCACGCAGCGAAAGCCCGGGCAGCTGGCACAGGGAGGGGCTGCGGGCGAGGGGACATGGGAGCGCATTCATTAAACGGAAGCTGCACAGAGGCGGGCAGGGGAGCAGCGTCCTGGCCAGCTGCAGCCCTGTCTCCTGCCTCCAGCAGCTGTGCAACGGGAAGATTCGAGGAGGCGGGACAGGCTGGTGCTGGAGATAGGACCCCCACCCCACCCCCACCCCCACCCCCGAGAGAGAGGGATATGGTGAGGGACCCTCCTGGGTTCCCGGGTCCTCTCTCTACTTAGGGATGTGGGGAGTCCCATACAGAGCAAGGAAGAAAACCAGCCCCACCGTGGGGCCCTCCCAACCTTTTGGGGGGGGGGGGGAAACAGCCTCTGTCTTAGGAAGCTCCCCACCTGATGGGAGAGCTATCAGGTATCCGCCCCCGTTCTGGGACGTTCCCAGTCCGATAAAGGAGAACCAGCCCCCAGGTGAATCGGGGCCAGGACAGGTGTGAAACATGTGACCACAGAACAGCCCGAGGAGGGAGTGAGGGACGGGGGTGGGGGAGAGGGGGGACCCTAAGGGTGGGCAGGATGAGGTCTGCTCAGGCAGAGGCCAGCCCAGGCCAGGCTGCTGGAAGTGGGGAGCATATGGCTGGGGCAGCCCCACAGCCCCCACCCCAGCCTCCCCCCTCCTCTGGAGACCACCAGCTTTCACAGCCACTGACCCCAGAAGCCTCGATACACCAGCGAGGCCCCACCACACGCGCCCTGCCCGTGTCTGGTGCACCCTGCCTCTCCACGTGGTACGGTCCAGCTCTCGGCTTCCTACGATGACCGAGCCAGGCCGTCTCCCACGCTCCAGCTTCTGAACCGGAGCCTCCTCTGCTTGGAACACCTCCCCACCACCAGGAGCCGCCTGCTCAGCCAGCAGAGCCCAGCTCTTGGGTGCTCCCAGCATGACTTCCTGGGCCCCTCAGGCTGGTTTCGGTGCCAATACTCGGGGCTCTCCAAGCTCATTGGGAGACACCAAACTCGCCTTCTCTGGGTGTCCGGGCCCCACTGCACCAGGAGCCCCGTGACTGCAACAGGGACGGTGCCCGCACACAGCAGGTGCTCAATAAAGGCTTCTCGGATCAATAGGGCTTCGAAGGACGATGGCAAAGTTTCTTTGAAATAGTCCTGCCTCAAGGCAACAGTCAGCACCGTGAGCTTGTGCGCGCATCCCACAGTGCACAAGCCTTTCACTGACCTGACACGGTTTGTCCCCCGAGCCCCGGAGGGCCAGGCCGGCAGGAATAGCCCCATTTTCCAGACGCTCAGTGGAATCCCAGGGGAGTGGGCCTGGGAGGGAAACCCAGGGCTCAGGACTCCCAGCCCAGCGACAGTCGACTTCGCTGCAGTGAATTCCCGGGGATGGAGGATTCCGTTTCTGATCATGGAAACCAACCCAGGTGGCTGTTCTCCATTCCCGACCCGAAAGCCTTCCCTGCTCTCCCTTTGCCCAAGGAAAAGCCTGGAAATGAGACGGTCACAGTTTCTGGACCTGCAGGAGGGAGTGGACCCATCTCCAAATCCTCGTCAGAAATTCTGGACCGGCAACGGCCTTACGGTGTGGGGTCCTTCTCTCAGACCCCCCATCCCCACAGACACCGTCCCACCCCCATTCCTGCGCTCCCGTCCCTGCAGCCTCCCACCCCAGCCTTTATTACAGTTTAACACAGGCCGGCTCGAGCTGCGGCAGAGGAGCGAATCACATAATAGTTGATATGCGTTTTAATCAAGTAATTCGGGCAGAGCCGGGAGCTGGCGAGTGCGGACCGGGCGTCCCTGAATACCAAACAGGCCTGGGCGCAGGTCTCGGCAAATGGAAAAGTCATTTACAGCTCAGCTGGGGGCCCGGACAGCCAGGGCCAGGCGGCGCCCTCCCGCGCACCCCTCCCTGGAACCGCTCAGCTGTAACCGGCGTGTGGTGCGTGCATCTAGGTAATGTCTGCAGGAGCCCACCCCCACCTCACCCGCACACGGGGACCAGACGGAGAGGTGGGGCTTGAACCCCAAGACAGACCTCCCGGAAGCGACCTCCTCCTGGCCACCCCCTCTGCCTGAACTTCTCCTGGGTGCCCATCTCGGCCCCGCCACCCAGCACCCACAGGACCCTGCACTCCTCCTAACACCCCTCTCCTCTCCCTTCACACCTCACATGCAACCAGCTGAGCCAAAGCCAGGAGATTCAGGGGCCCTGTGAGCCCCCAACCTACCCCACACCCCACCCTCCCTGGATGCAGCAACCCCAGTGACTGCAGGCCTTTGCAGAGGCTGGGTCCTCTGCCTGGAGCCCCTCCTCAGCCCCCCATGGCCTGCCTTTTTCAGGGGGGCTGGGCCACGCAGAGGGGGCATTGAAAAGCACAGGCTCCTGGCACAGCTGGCCTGGTTCTGTGGATTCCACGTGTAAGACATGGACAATAGTAGGGCCCCATGCACGGCCTTGCTTTGCATTTCTCCACAGTCCATGTCGCAATCTCACGCGCTAAACACTCTACTCCACTGTGTGTCCCCAGCTCCCTGCGCCCCACTGTCCCCAGAGCGCATGCTCCATGCGGGGTGGGTGTTTCTGTCTTCTTTGGTCGCTGCTGACGCTCCAGGGTTGGGCACAAAGTGGGCGCTCAAGTACTTGCGGGATGAATGAATGAGTGGACGCGTGAGGAGGTGAAAGCACACGGAGCAGTGCCAGGGACACGCGTGTGTGTTACGTGCCGTTTCGGAGGCTCCCACTCCTGGAGACCCTATGATGAATGACGTCCACAATATCCCGCCCCTGCTCGGCTCCTGGGCACTCGGGCCTGTGGCTTGTCTTACGAAAACCCACCTCATGTTTGGTCTCCCACCTCTCCTGCCGCCTTCCATGCTTCCCAGCATTACTTCCTGAGGCGCCCGACACAGGACAGCCTCCGTGTGGTCGTTTCTGCCTCCAGGCATGTTCCGGGGCTTACTGTGCTCTGGGACCCATCTGTCCATCTTTCTGGCGGTCCAGGGTGTCCGGAGAGCTCTCCTCCAACACCAGGCCTCAGACGAATCCGTGCTTTCCTACCAGCCTTCGTCACTGTCCAGCTTCCACATCCACGTGTAGTAATCAGGCACGTGGGATGCTGGGGCGTGGCTGGCCTCAGCCGTGGTCTCCAGTGACACATCTCTGCTCTTGGTGACCGTTCCAAACTCTGCCATGGCTGCCCTTCCCCGTCTCAGCCTTCCGACTCCTTGGCTTTTCCGTGACTCCTCACCCTTTCCGACTCAGCTGGGGATCACCCCTCCCGGACAGTGTCCCCGTCTATCTGGGTGTGAGGTGCCCACGTTGCCGGGACTCAGCAAAACCGTCTGCATTTAATGCACCGCAGGCCTGCTCTCGCGAGGCCTCCCGGGGGATGCGAGGCACCGGAAGGTGGGAACCCAAATAGGTCCTATCTACCTTCAAATCCTATGCGAGTCCTCAGGCCCTGAGATGCGTCAGCTGGTCCAATTTCGCTCTCCCAACTCAAGGAGAGGAGGGAGGGGGGAAAGTGCGCTTAGGAAGCTTGCAACCGAAATTTGACAAAACTATCCCTTCTCTGGGAAGCCCCCATCTAACCCATCAGGCTGTTTCTCCCCCCACCTCCCCCTTTTTTTTACTCTGAACCTGATCATGGCTTCGGTACCAACAGCACAATGCGGTTCTCAGCCCCTAGAGGGAGCTCTTTCTACATGCCTCCCTGGAAGGGGCGGATCTAGGAAGGAGGAAGTAGTACTGCTTGACATGGTACCGTGTGGTTGTTGCCGGCATTCAGAGCCATGCTTTCTCACGGGGGATCCGGAGCTTTTCTGCATGAAACTGTGAACCAAGCACAAGCCACCAATGGGTGAGGAGAGAGGGCTTGTAGGGGGCTGGAACCCTCGGAGGCAAAGGCAAAAGAGAAGACTTACTAGGAGCCGAGTCCCACACTGAGGGTCACCTGCCTTTAAGGCAAGGAGTGAAGATGAAGATGCCGTGCGGACCCTTCCAACTCAGTCTCCTGAACCTGTTGGTGTCCTAGGCAACAGGTTAGCAAACATGGAGTTTGGAAGGGGCAGCAGCTGTGGATGGGGGAGGGCAGGAGGCAGGGCAGGTAGGCAGGCGCCTGAGAGGCCGGAGCAAGCCCACCATCAGAGGGGCTCAGCTCACTGTCCCCTTTCACACTCTCCCTGTGACTTTAAGACAACCCTGAAAACAATCACAGTTTTCTTTGACTCTTCAGTGGGCAACGGGCAGAGCTCTCTCTACCAGCTCCTGAAAGGGGGCTTGCCCCGGGGTCTGTCTTACGGAGCACGGCCGAGGCCGCCGCAGGCAGACACTGGGGGGAGGTGGGAAGAGAAGCTGTGGGGCCGGATGGACCTGGGATTCCTGTGAATTCTGGATCTGCCTCCTAAGAGCTATCGATGCTAGACGTGCTTTTTAACTCCCAAGCAACATTCTATTTCTAAATTTCTAAACTGGGAATGAATGCATGAATGAATGAATGAATGAATGAATACCCCTTTGCCATCCCTTCCTTACTCTACCATGGTGGGGGCTCTGCACAACCCCAGCCACGCCCACAGCCTCCACATCCCATCCCATCTCCAGGGAAAGCCATTCCAGGTGCAAATGGTGCCCGTGAGAGGAGAGGGTGCCGGAGTCTTAGGTAAGTGCTGCAGCTGGTACACAAATGCTGGCAGGTGCTAAGGGCCCCAGGGGGAGACAGACACTCAGGAAGCTGGGCCTGGGGAGGCCTGGGGAGGCCTGGGGAGGCTTTAAAACCAGCGAAGGGGAAAGAGCAGCAGCTGGGGCCCCTGTGGCCAGATGAAGCTGCTGGGCATGGCCAGGAAAAGGCCACCCGGCCACCCGTCAGCACCCCACAAAGGCAGAGTGAAAGGACCATATGCCTGAGAAGTCAAGCCTGCCGGACCCTCCTTCGCCCCTCCCCTTCCCGCCCCACCCCCATTGGTGTTGGAGCACTGAGTGGTGGGGGGGGGGGGTGCAGCCAGTTGGAAAGTTGTCAAAGGAGGGATGAAAAGTGGCCTCAGGACCCCAGCCCCTGCCTCCCTCTGTCCATCGAACCCCCTGCCTCTGGGCTCAGTCCTTAAACCAGGAGCTCCCAGTACCCCAAAGCCAGGGCTATGGGATCACACACAGTCTCCTACAGCAGGACTGGGCATAAAGGCTCCAGAGAATGAACAAAAATAGCTGTGCACGAAGTTGGAGCTTCCACGTGCCTTTCCTGTACCAAGTCCTGGTTTCCCACTACAACCCTAAGAGGTAAGGACCGTTATTAGTGAATGTTATTATCAGCCCATTTTACAGATGAGGAGACTGAGGCTCAAAGGGGTAACTAGTTCAATGACAGAGTGCCAGTGAGACCCCCACAATTGGCCCAGAGGCCCCTCTTCACCAGGTGGCACTTGTGAGCCTGGTCCTCAAGGTGCCCCTCGTGCTGGGCCCACACGTGCCTGTCCCTGCAGGGCACTTCCGAGGCCGTCTACCACTGTGGCCTGGGGTGGCGCCCTCACAGTTTCCTACTGTCTCTCTCCCCTACTCTTCAAATCCGGGCTCGAGGGCCACCGAGTCCATGAAGTTCTCTGGGACTGTCATGCCCGGAGAGCTCTCCGTGAATCCCTGTGGCACCTGCCACCTGTGCCATCCTCTCGGCCCCTGGCACCGACCCCTGCTGGACTGGCAACGAACTTTCAGTGCGGCTGTTCTGTTTCCCAAATACACCCTATCGCCCCGTTTGTAAAAGGGTCATCTGAACTTCCTGAGTGTGGGAACTCGGTTTCCCCCATCAAACCAGGGATGCCCCGCGTAGAGATGGCGGCTTCGCACTGAGGCTGGGAGTACCCTGAGGCTGGAAACTGTGTTCCTTCTGTTATGACTGGGTGCTACCCCAGGGCAGGGTGACTGGGAACAGCTCGATGGTTATCATTCTAGAAGCTGCTAAGAACAGTTCTAACCGGAAGTGCAGCCACCAGGTAAACAAAGAGACCATGGCCCCTGCTGTCACAGACACGTTGGGGCTCAAGCTTCCCCAAAGTCGCGTCGGAACTGCATGGATTTCTCTCTCTCGGGCTCACTCCCCTCCATGCAATTCCCACCCACCCCACCTCCATCTTTGTTTAAAAAGGAAACTCTGAAAACTAATGTTGCGTTGCAGGTCATGGTGCACAGAGGAGCATGGCCCAACTGGTAGCTCCTGAGCTCCTGCCGGGCACCCCACAGACCCCCACTGACAAAAGCTCCAGCAGTGACATTTCACCACCACAGAAGCTAGTGGAGAGCTCAGACCCTGCCCCTTTGATGGATTGATTTTTTAAAATATATCTTTATTGCAGCGGTTCTCAACCTGTGGGTCACGACCCCTTTGGCGGTCGATCGACCGTTTCACAGGGGTTGCCTAAGACCATCCTGCATATCAGATATTTACATTACGATTCATAACAGTAGCAACATTACAGTTATGAAGTAGCAACGAAAATAATTTTATGGTTGGGGGTCACAACATGAGGAACTGTATTTAAAGGGCCAGAAGGTTGAGAACCACTGCTTTATTGATTTCAAAGGGGGAGGGGGAGAGGGAACATCAATGATTAGAATCATTGATCGGCTGCCTCCTGCACCCCACACCAGGGATCAAGCCCCCAACCCAGACATGTGCCCGGACTGGGAATCGAACTGTGACATGGTTCATAGGTCAACGCTCCACCACTGAGCCACGTCGGCCAGGCTGATCCTGACCCTTTTAGAGAGAACCGCTCTCCTAAAGGCGGCAGAGCTGTGGGCTGATCCAGAGCAGCTACAAGTCAAGAGGATCATGGGAAAAGCAAGGGGCACGTCCTGCCACCGGGTGAGGGGCTTTCACGGAGGCCGGCCTCCCTCCTCAGAAGCAAAAGCTTTACCTGGCAGCACACGGAGCAGAGCAGTCTTCCCTCCCCAGACTGAGGCCAAAGCCATCAGCTGGTCACTGCGGAAGTGCCCCCCAAACCGGCTACAGGCTCCCAGCCCACCCCCCCAGGCTCCCAGCCAGATGACAGGACTATTACCTTCCCCGGAGAAGGGTCCCCAGGGAGCCTGGGGGCTGGCTGGAAAGACTAGGGGGCTCCTGATTTGCACCCTGAAATTTGTCTGACTTTGCCTTCAACTTGCTGTGTGACCCTCGGCAAGTCTAAGCCCTCTCTGGGCCCCCCAAACAAGAGGTCCTCCTGGATCTCTAAGAGTAACCCTGAGAAGGAGGCCGGGGTTGTAGCCGATTCATTCATTACTTCACACTGCAGAGCCCGGGATGGTTCGGGGCACACAGTGGGCTTTCAGGAAATGCCTGCTGCTGGAGGAAAGAATGATTGGTCCACGTGGGCAGTGAGGTGCTCCACAGGGGAGTGGGATTCTACAGTGGGGACTGCAGGACACCCTGCAATCACCTGATTCCTGGGGGGCAAGAGGGGTGGATTTTATCGCCCTCAGATTCTGCCTGGGGCCAAGCCTGCTTCCCCTAGTCTCCAGGCCCTTCTTCTTCTCTCAGGGGAAGGGGGTGGGGAAACTTAACTCTCCCCTCCGCTCCCCTCCCCCTGGGCCAGTCACAGCCCCTTGTGTCCCAGGCTGGTCGCTGGGCAGCCAGAGGCCTTTCATGGTGCATTCTCCCGCTGCCCCCTCCCCACCCTCTCTCCCCAGCAACCCCATCCCGTCGTGCCCCCATCAATCTACCGCAGCCCAGCCGCTGCAGCTGGCCTGGCGGGGCCGTTCCCAGGCAGAGCAGGTCCGCAGTGGAAGGTGGTGGAAAAATGTGGACAAATTTCTGATTTGCAACACGCTGGGAAAGGGTTTATTGCCATTGTTTGAGGACGAATGTATAAATAAAGCCGGGCGCAGGCTGCAGGGGGAGGCCGATGAAAGGCAGAAAACGAGAAATTTTATGGCCCTAAGGAGCGTACTCTAATGGTGATTTTTGAGGCACTGGACCATGGTCGTTACTTAGCCAAATGATCGCTGTGAAGCTGGGCAAGGCGGCTTATTTCTTAATTACTGTTACGTATTATGTCAGGCGGACGCGCAGCCCTGGAAAACCTGGGTCCTGAAGCACGTACCGGCGGGAGCCAGGTCCGGTGCCGAGATGCCCGTGGGCCCATGGAGGCATCACCCGCACCCACCAAGGGCAGGGGTGCCCCTGGGGCTGCTGTCCTCTCCC